ATCCCTGGTGTACGCCCTTCCCAATTTTTGAACCATGCAGTGTTCCCTTGCTTTGTTCTGACGACTGCCTCCTGGTCCAAGTATAGGTTTCACATTAGAATGATCAAGTGTTCTGGGATTCCCATTCTTCTCAGAGTCAGCCATAGTTTGTTATGATCCACACAGTCAAATGCTGTGAAAGGTAGTGGCCTGATATATTTATTTTAGAAAGGTGTCTGCTGCCTGTAGGATTTTCACACAAGTTTTCACGAGTTTCTTCCTGTTGTTTCGATGGTCGCTATGAATTAAGAGTCCAGCTGACAACACAGAACAGCAATAAGGAAAAAGCCCAACTTCCTGGAATTGTTGGGTCTTGTGAGCTAGTTCTTGGAGAAACCTTCAACATTGCTTACTGATACTTTTCCATTCAAAATGAACAAGTTGATTAATTTCTGTCTAGTGGATGACTTGTAGTGACCCTGGAGGGGAGAAGGTTTCCCCTAGAACATTTCCAAGGCTGTAGGTCTTTATGGAAACAGACTGCCACCTTTTCTCCCGCTGAGCAGCTTGAGAGTTCGAGTCACTGACCTCTCGCTTAGCCGCTGACGGCTTTGACTACTGTTGCCAGGACGGCTTCGATTTATAACAGGTGTTCTAGCAGTAATAACCGTGATTACAGGGGTCATTCTCTGTGGTCATCTGGGACGTCAGATAGTGACAGTGGGGCATTGTTCTTGGTTGCTGAGCCCTTCAAATCAAGTCAGAGATTGAAAGCAAGGCCCTGTGCTCCGGCGGAGTTATTGGCCTCGGAAACCCCCTCACCTATGACTGATGTGGGGACCCCTAGTGCTTCCCATTGGAGCAGATTTGGATACTTCTGCAGAGTGGGAAGCATTCAAAACTTGAGGCCATGCTTTATGACCCCGACCAGCTTGCTGCCCTCCCTGTCTCTCGTCTGTGTAAGAGACTAGCAGAGTGGCTTTCAGACTGTGCTCAGTCAAGTCCCAAGTTCCAGAGAGGGGTCCCAGGAGGATCTGGGGAGTGGACATTGGGGAGCTTGCTGGATAGGACAGGAGGAAGGAGGACAAGATGAATTGAAGGGCAGATGCGGAAGCAGCCTCCCCCAAAATTCAGCTGTGAAGGGAAGTAGGCACTTTGGGGTGGTAGATAAAAGGGGAGCAGAATGTTTTCAGAAAGGCAGACGCAGGAGCAAGTATGTGTGCTGATGGGCAAGGCCCCAGAGACAGGAAGAGACTGATAAAAGCTGGGAACCAGGGACCCCTGGAGTAGCTCTGTCTGACATGAGAACCCAGGCAACACAGGGTAGCAGGACTTGGTCTCTGGGGACAGGTGCAGCTGAGTCTAAAGCAAGGATATTGCGAGGTCATGCAAGGGCCTTGAGAAGGCAACGTATGAGACAGGACCTGGGAAACATAGTAAGGGTGCCAGGGAACAAGATGCCTATTGGGTATTTGGGTTCAGGTTTAGAATTCTAACGGTGTCAGCCTGGCTAATGTCCTTTCACAGTGTGCAGATTTAGGATGCAGGCCGTGGGGTTAGAAGGTGGGTTTAACTAGAGTTGACGTTTTTCTAGATGAATGTTGAAGAGGAAGCACATGGAAATGTTTATAAGGGAGTGTCTATACAGATGAACAATGGGCTCTCAGCACGTTAAGGTTGAAAAATGTTTATGGGCCTCATATGTACTTTGAGAGTTGTGTTAAGGGGAGTGTGTTTGCTCTGTAAAGCATGTTGGTTCTAACGGTCAGTTTTGTAGAAAAGGGAGAGGCAATTTTATCCAAATAAGCCCAACTCAGAAGAGGTATTTTAATAGCAAGCACCCTTTCTATAAAAGAACCCAAGTGAGGCTGTGCTTATGGGCTTGGCCGTTAATCAGAAGGTTGACGGTTCAAGCCCACCAACTGCTCTGAGGGTGAAAAAGCCTGATCATCTGCACTGGGGAAGGTTAAGAGCAGGAAACTGGGCCACTCACTCCTGCGCTGTCCGGTTGCATTACCATGCGTGGGAACTGACTCCAGCAGCTCTTTTTTGTTGGGCTATAACTTAAATTCCTCTAGAGATTTATATTATGAACAGTGTACTCAGCCACTTTACAGATATGTACATCATATGAATGGCCTGATTGTGGTGCCTGGAACACAGTGTATTCTCAGTAAACATTCAACAGATGAGTCAACCTCAGACTCAGGCAGACCTTGGAACTAGGTCAGAATCCACATGGACATGCTTGAGAAGCAGATTTCCTCAGATTGTGTCTGGGCTCTACACAGTGCTTTAGTGGAATCTAGACTCTATAATCCTTAAAGAGAATGGAGTTCCTTCTACTTAGTGGTTTTGAGGAGAATCCAAGGTGTGTTTAAGTGAAGCAATTAGAGTGCAGAACAGTATATGTAGTATATATCCCTTTTAAGAAAAACCATGGTGAATCCTCTTCGGTACGTGTAATTGCTTCTGTGTGCATAGGAGCCCAGGAAGTTTAACACACATGGTTAACTCCAAAGAGGGGCCCCGGAGCCAAGCTTGGAGGGAGACCAGCTGTCCACTGGATGTATTTCTATATTGTTTACCATAAGTATTGTATTTTCAAATAGAATAAAAACCTTTAAAAGAGTGAGCAATGGTCATTAAACCTAGTGCTGCTTCTACTAAGTATATTCCTTTAAAATGTCATTTTTAAAAAGTTTCTTTTATTACCCTTTTTTTTTTTTAACTTCATTGAAGACATCAGACTCAATTTAGGTTTGACACACAGCCATTCATACACATTTCGAACTCTAATTTCCAGTGATGAATGTTATTACAGTGTCTGATCAGCCACTTAGGCAGCTCTCACCAGAGAGCTGTGGTGAGGAATTACAGGTCCGAATCCACCCGCTGCTCCGCAGCAGAAAGACAAGGCCTCTCCTCCGGGTGACTGAGAGCCTCTGAGAACCTACTGCAGGGTCAGCTCTGGTCACCAAGGTTACGCAACAACCATAATAATCAACCACTTAGAAAAGCTGTCAATTAAAACAGACATTGGCGGGGGGAAGAAGAACGAACTGGGGAGGAGGGTGGAGAAAACAGTGCAACAATGAATGAATGAAAACCCCAAATCTCTGTAAATGGTCATTAAAACTAATAAAATTTAATAATAAATAAAAGGACATTTTGGATTTAAAAGTTAATACTTACATGAAGCCAAAATCTTTCTCCCTTCCCAATTATTTGGGAAACTCCTCCAGGAATAAGATTTGTAGGTAGGATTGAGTCCATGCTAAGAAAATGAAACTCTCTAAGGGATATAGTTTCCTAAAAGGACCAGGCAGGAAGCATACACAGGATACAGTTTATCTTTACAGATACCTTTGGAATCTTTGGAAGATTCTTTACTTGAGAAAGCATTTCTATAATTGTAGGAGAGATGAACCTGGAAATTTTCAATACTATCATTTACCAAAAATCACAGCATATGGTGAGAATGAAAAGGCCAAAAGAATGGATATAATATTCCAAAGATACTGTGGGTATTACTTTCTTGAAGGTCATTGTGCTTGGAAAGGCTGGCAAAAGAGAGGAAGAGTGGAGTAGTCTATAGGAAGTTGCAAGGCTAAACTAAAGAGTGGCTGCACCTTTCCGAGAGTTCAAATTCATCAGTGGCTCAATGGGAGAAAGATGGACAGTCAGCTCTTGAACAATGTACGCCCCAGAAACACAGTAGTTTAACCACTACTCATGTGGTTTAAAAAAAAAATTGGGGGAGCTCTGGTGGCCTAGTGGTAAGGAGCTGCACTACAATCCCAGAGGCGCATGGTTCGAATCCACCAGATGCTCTGCCGGGGAAGGAGGGACAATCTCCTGTACCAGTCAGATCTGATTTGACGGTACACTCACACAAAAAAATAATAAAATAAAAATAAAATAAATTTTAAAAAATTACTGATGTGGTTTTAAAAAAGCAGTGTTTTTTAATCAACTAAAAATGAGTCTGTGCGTTTAAAAAAAAAAGCTGTCATTGTTTTTAAGAGTCTAATTGTACATAAGTGTTACTTAAACCAGTTCCAAATTATAGCAGCTTGATTCTAAAGGAGGTGTTGTAAGTACAGAATGTATTTCTCCCAAGTTTGCAGCCACTTGTTAATCTTGATGACTTACAATACTCTTTTCTTCCTTTTTCTCTTATTTTTATGCACAGCATAGTAAGTGTGCCACGTACTCTGTGGGGATGCAGAAAACTTACTCCATGATCTGTTTAGCCATAGACGATGATGATAAAACGGATAAAACCAAGAAGGTCTCCAAAAAGCTCTCCTTCCTGAGCTGGGGCACCAACAAGAACAGGCAGAAGTCTGCCAGCACCATGTGTCTCCCGGCAGTTGGGGTTGCAAGGCCTCATATCAAGAAGAAGCTGCCCTCCCCTTTCAGCCTTCTCAACACCGACAGTTCTCTGTACTGATGGGAGGAGAGAAAAACGTTTAAACCCAAAACAGTGCCCAGTGCTGACGAGGCCTTGATGTTTGTGCCATACTGGAACATTTCTGTCTCAGATCTTGTCTTGGTTGAAACTTGCTAATCTTAGATTTCTTTAGGAATGCAAGTAACATGAAACCTCTAGAAATTTGAGGACAACAAAGTAATTCCAGTGTCACTGTATTGCTGCAAGTTATTTATTACATAAAGTATTGTAAATAGAATAGTGTTAGAAATGATGGCTGTTTAATGATTACGACTGTTGGTCACTTTCAGAGTCAAATTTGGATGACCTATATTATTAGTCCTATTTGTACACTTCTAGGTTTGGGTAATAAGAGATGTTTCTGTAACCTAGAATTCAGACAACCCCGGAGTCAAGGCAAGTTAGGGGACTTCTGTGATAGTTTCAAGTTAGTGTTTCTAAAAATTGTTCCCAACAACTGCTCCCTACATCCCTGAAATTATAAGGTTTTCCTGTTATTTCCACATGTAGAAATGCTACCACCAGGTCAATTCTATGCCAAACTTGTCATGACTTTCGAAATGAAAACCATTTTTAGGAGCAGCTTTTCTTCTAGTTTCATGTCATTTACAAGTTTCTAACGCCGTGGCAGGGTTAGATGAAGATGCTGTCTACAAGGTAGATAATGTGCTGTTTGATACTCAAAACATTTTTTTCATCTTGTTCAAAGTAGAAATGTACAAAACTGTATATTTTTAAGAATCTTGGGTTAAAAAAGCTAGCTCAACATATTTTTCAAGTAAAGATGTAAATAATTTGAATTCAAAGCTGTATTTGGTTTTTTAAATAATAGTAACATTCTGCCAGTTGAATTCTCTAGCTGTGAGTTGGATGACACTGTGATTCTAATAAGACTCACTGTTGACACAGAACAGTATATAGCTAAGAAAAAGGAGAGCAATTGAAATCTACTTGTTGAGACTTAATCTTTTGTGCAATAAAAGGGAAGCGACCACCTTGATGAAAGTATATTTACTGCATCTAGGACCATGTTTGTATGAATATTTAAATAAACACATTCATTTATGCTGTTTTGTGTGGCTTTTTCAAGAATATTTTATTACATTTTTGGTGACAGTTGGCACAAGAGATTCTCATTCAACCATTTTTTTAATTTTAGTTTAATGAAAGTTTACAGCAGAGACTTTGAATTTCCATTCATTCATTGTTGCACTTTTCTCCCTGCCCTCTCCTGCCCACCCCCAATTAGCTTTTCTTTTTTAAAAGTAAAAGAAAAAATTCTGTCATTGTTGTACAGTCCTCCCCCCTCATTCAACCATTTTACACGTTGGTTATGTTCTTCACAAAGTCCATGTTCCCAGTAAACATTCGCATTATTTTCATCTGTTCTGTTACTAGTAATCCCTGCCTCCCTTACATTCTCATGTAGATGATTTTCTAAAGGAGCACAGGACTCGATGGTGATGCTCTGTTTTGTGAGCCAGTCTGTAAAAGATGTTTTTGGTTCAAAGAGTTGTCCAATCTCAACTGGTCTAGTAAGTCTGAATTTTTTTTTAATTTTTTTAAAAATTATTATTTTTGTGTGCATGTACCGTCAAATCAGATCTGACTGGTACAGGAGATTGTCCCTCCTTCCCCGGCAGAGCATCTGGTAGATTTGAACCAGTAAGTCTGAATTTTTTAAAAAAGAATTTGAAGTTCACGTTCACATTTCCCCCCCTTTCTATCAAAATCCATCTACTGGGGTCCTGAGAAGAATGGTGGTTAGTGGTCGTCAGGCACTGTCTAGTTCTTTTGGTCTCAGGCATGGTTCATGTCGTTGATTCTGTAGATGAATTTCTTGAATCTTTGGTTTTCTTATCTATTGCTACAGATGAACTGAGACCAACAGTTGTATTTTAGATGGTTGCTCGTCAGCTTTAAAGATCTGTTATCAAGGAATGTCTAAGAAATATTCATAACTGTGCCACCTGCATGCTTTATTATACATATGAATATCTAGGCATGCAGTTATAGCTGCATATACATATGTTCTTATCTATATACTTACATGCCTACATATTTAGTACCATCGAGTCGGAACCGACCCATAGCTGACCCTCCAGCGGGTTTTCAGAGGCCGTCAATCGCATGGAAGGAGAGTGTCCATCATTCTGCGGAGCAGCTGATGGCCTCAAACCGCGTGCCTTTGGGATTGCTGCACAGCTTCTTGCCACTATATAGTTTCTGGTGGTTTCTGCTATTTAAAGAAAAGACCTTTACCTAGCCATTACCAACAGTTCCTTTTTTATGCACTTTTTAGTGATATTATTTAAAAGCTCAAGTTTTTGAGATACTAGATACTATACCAAACTAGGTTATAGAACATAAGCTTTGTGAAGTATAGAATACCAAATGACCCACGTGTCCCCTAAAGCTCTGGTGCTAAATCTTCAAACCCAGAAAATCAATCCTGTGATGTGTTTGCCTATGTCTAAGAATTCTTAGTTGACCTTGTTCTGTACTGTTGAATCAGAACTGACCCATAGCTGATCCTCCAGTGGGTTTTCAGAGACAGTTATTCACATGCCCATCCTCCCACAGAGCAGCTGGTGGGATTTGAACTGTGTGCCTTTGGGATTGCAGCACAGCTGCTTGCCACTAGGCCACCAGAGCTCCCTATTTGCCTTTTTGTAGCTTATTTTATATATAACTTACTAAGTAAAGCCTTGGAACTATAAGGCCATCATGAGTTAGAATCAACTTGATAGCAACACATTTATGCTTATATATGTTTAAATCTGTAGTCGCACAAAAAAATTATATGTCCGTGTGTGTATGTATGTATATATTGTTATGTACCATCAAGACAACAACTTATAATGACCCATGAACAATAGTTTTGAATCCTCCTCTAGCCTGAGCCAGTCTCACCTTCTCTGACACACCTGTCCCCATTGCCATAGTCACTGTCAATCCATCTCATCCAGGGTCTTCCTCTCCTGCACAGACCCTCCATTCTTAGCATGATGTCCTTCTCCAAGGACTGGTCTCTCCTGGCCACATGTCCAGAATATGTGAGGCAGAGCTTCAGAATCCTTGCCTCCAAGGAGCAACCCCGCTTTACCCTCTCTAGGACAAACTTGTTTGTTCTCTTGGCAGTCCATGGTGTGCTCAATACTCCTCCAGCACCACAGCTAAAAGGCATCCATTATTCTCTATGTGTCAGTATATATACAACAGAACAAAACCCTGCCCAGCCCTGCGCCATCCTCACAGTCTCTGCTGTGCTTAGGTGCAGTGTTTCAGTCCATCCTTCTGAAGGGTCATCTTCTGTTTTGTGGGCCCTGTAGTTTTCCAGCGTGATGTCTTTGTCTAAGTACTGGACCCTTGGAAACATGCTTCAAGTATGTGAGGCGACATCATCAGCCTCACTTCTGACGAGCACTCCGACTGCCAAGACAGATGCTTGTGCCTGTGGTTGTCTGCAGTCTCTTCACAGCCAGCCGCCAAGAGGTGCTGTTGTGTATATTTAGTGACATCATTTACCTTGTCAGGCCACGCACACTTCATCCATTTGGCGTTACACTTCTATTACCAACAACGTGTTTGCTGCCCTGCAGGGATCTCTGGAGGCCTGGTTGTGAGTTTGCTGCCACCTGGAAGGCATGAGGTTCAAACCACTAGATGTTGCGTGGAAGGACAGATGGCAGTTTCCTCCCACACAATTCTACTTCATGTGCTCCCGCTTCCACTTGTCCTTAGCCCTTCGCGCCTTCTGAGCCTTATCCTCTGCCAAATGCTGACCTTCTGGTCTCTCTGGTCAGTAGCTCTAAGAGGTGCCTATCTCCCAGGTGTTACTGGTCCCCTTACAGGCCTTTCTATGTTGTGTTGTTATGTGCTGTCGAGTCACTTGCGACTCATAGCGACCCTATGTACAACAGCCCTAAACTCTGCTCTGTCCTGTGCCAATCGCACTGTCTCTGACACTCCCATCCCGATTATCCCAGTCACTGAATCAATCCACCTCATAGAGGGCCTTCCCCTCCTGCGCTGTCCCTCCACCCTCCCAAGCATGATGTTCCTCTCCAAGGACCGGTCTCTCCTCACAACATGTCCAAAGTATGTTAGACGGAGCCTCAGAATCCTTGCCTCCAAGGAGCCACCCCGTTTAACCCTTTCCAGGATAAATCTGTTTGTTTTCCTAGCAGTCCATGGTATTCTCAATACTCTTCTCCAGCACCACAGCTCAAAGGCATCAATTCTCCTTCTATCCTCCTTGGTCATTGTCCAACTCTCTGATGCATAACAAGTGATTGGGAAGACCAATGATTAAGACAGACTAGGAAGAAGGATTGGCCATCCACTTCTGAAATAGCAGGCCTCTGAAAACCCTATGTAAAACAGAACACATTTAGATAACAGAAATGGCAAAGGAGGTTGAGTTTTCAAGTATGGAAATACAAAGGAAGAGGAACAGTTGTAAGCAGACACTGGTGATTGGGACATGGAATGTGAGAACCATGAATGTAGGAAAATGAGATATTGTTAAGGAAGAAATGGAACGCATAAATATTGACATACTAGGCATCGGTGAGATGAGATGGACTGGCATGGGACATTTTGAGTCGGATGGCCATATGATATATTACTCTGGAGATGAAAAGGTGAAAAATGGAGCTGCTTTCATAGTTAAAAAAGTCATTGCTAGATCCATCTTGAACTACAATATTGTCAGTGACAGGATAATATCTATACGCATACAAGGAAGTCCAGTGAATACCACTATCATTCAAATATATGCACCAACAACCAGAGCCAAGGAAGAGGAGATAGAAGATTTTTACCAACTTTTACAATCGGAGATTGATCGAACATGCAACCAAGATGCATTGATAATAATGGGTGACTGGAATGCAAAATACAACTCTGACTAGTCTTTAAAAAACCACAGAGCAGCGAATGGGCAAGGTTTCACATAGATTGTCCAGCCACCACCTGACCCCTGAAGTCATTTTTTGTTTGATCTTTTTATCTTTTTTTTACAGCATATTCTTTACATTTCCCCCCTCCCCATTCATTCACTGTTGCACATTTTCCTCCCTGCTCACCCCTCTCCCCAGTTCATTTTTCTTTGAGAAAAAAAATAAAATGCTTTCACTGTTATACAATCCCCCAGGCCACAGTCCACTTTACTATGCATTATTTTTTCTGTAATCTTGTTATGACAATAATACCTAATCTTATGTCCTTTTTAAAAATTTTTATTTTATTAATTTTAATGAACATTTACAGAGATTTTGGATTTTCATTCATTCATTGTTGCACTTTTTTTCTTTACCCCCCTTCCCCCAGTTCGTTCCTCTTTGAAAAGCAAAAGATAAACTTCATTGGTATACAATACCCCCGACCCTGCCCCTGCCCCCAAATGCACTCCACTATGCAACCTTAATTCTGGATTCCTGTGATAATCATAATATGCCTATGTCCCTTTTAAACAGTTCTCTCCCTCATCGGTTTCAATGCAGTATACCCTCTTTTCTTAGGTTCCCTCCAACCCTGATGTCAGTCCTATTTTACAACAGTGGCATTATGCAGTATTTGTCCTTTTGTGACTGAGGTATTTCACTCAGCATGTCCTCCAAGGTCACCCATTTTGCATATTTCATGAGTTCTTTGCTTTTCAATGCAGTTAGTAATTCCATTGTGTGAATATACCACAGCTTCTCTATCCATTTGTTTGTTGATGGGCACTTGGGTTGTTTCCAACTCTGCTATTGTGAACAAAGCCACAATAAAAATGGGTGTGCACTATTTTATGTTTTATAAATTACTAGCCTTTTCACAAAGAAGACATTACAAGAACTTTCATGTCATGTTCTCTCATTGCTGTCAAGTCAAACCCACTCAGAGCTAACCCTCCAGTAGGTTTTAAAAGGCTATAAATTACATGGGAGGTTGCTCTCTGGAAGAGTAGCTGGTAGACTTAAACTATGCACCTTTGAGTTGGCGGCACAACTCTTTACCCACTAGGTCACGAGAGCTCTTGTCAGGTTATGTTGTTGTTGTATACCTTATGTTAGTATATTTTAAAACATATGGCACTGGAACTCTTTGAACAGTTTTACCTTGTGATCCCCAAGCCCTCATTGTTATTTGTGTATCTTGCTGTTGTTGTACATTTACAAATGTTTTCTTTTCCTCCCTCACACATACTTTTATAAGTTTCTTATCTTTTAATTGGAACTTAAGACTTCAGACTTTCTCAAAGCCCTGTGTGTTCAGAAGATCTGTGTAGGGATTATAAACACAGCCTACAGCTGTGGGGGTAGAGGAAGAAACAGGAAAGGCAAAGGCAGTACAACTGTTTATTTACATTGGCAAGTCCACGCACAGGAATATTCTTCCTGACCAGGCCTGAAGAGCAGCCACACAGGAACAAGGGGCTTTGGCTACACAGTGCTTAATTGTAGGTTTGCTTTCTTTAGATGCTCACATCCACTGCCCGAGGGCTGAGAAGACCTTTCCTGTGACAGATGCAGGTCAAGGTCATGCTTTAAAATTTGCTGAGTATGAGAGTCTCTAATGAAACAGACTCTCGGTGAGATCCGCAAAGGTTCTTCTAGTCCAGGAAGGAGAGCAGTGTCAGCTGGTGTCTGCTAAGGAAGTGTCTGAACCCAAGTAAAGCCTCAGGGAGGCCCCCTGCTGCTTTCACTGGTTGCTGTGACAGGAAATCTTTGTTCTTGGTTTTTAAAATAAGAAATGATGCTGTTTGTGGTCTGAAGAAGGAAATGCAGCTGTCGTCAGCTGGACTGGGTGAAAAACAGGTGAATTTGCTGTGCCACCGCTGGGCCCACCACTTGCTCCAGTTCTTGGGTAGATGCATTACTTAGTTGTTGGATACTCGGGAACTTCTGAAGCAGGAGAGGGGCTTTAACTTTGCCAACTCCCGGGATCTGCTGCACAGTTCGGAGGAGGGACCGCTCAGCATGCAGAGAGCGGTTTTTCTTGAGAAAAGGGTTCTTCCTGGGCTCTTTGGCTTGTTCTTGGACCTGAAGCCGACATTAAAGGAGGAGAGACACATGTGCGCCCTCTAGCGGACAAACCATCTTAAAATTGGTGCAAGTTTTCATTTTTCTGTTCAGTGTGACTTAAGGTATAAAGATCTGTCTCTTCCTATTTTGACTAATATGAATAGGATTTTTTCAGACATCAGTAAAGTTACTGAGAGCAGAACTAAAAATGGGCAACTTAAAAAAAAAGAGAAAGTTAAAATGTATAATCAGCAAAAAATTAATGTTCAGAATGTTTAGGATAAAAAAAACCTTAGAGCAACCCAAACACCCCTGGTGCATAAAGAAACTTTCCAGTCGTGTAGGATTAAATGATGGCCATATCTAAACTGGGCCCGCTTGATACAGGACCTGGAGGCAATTCTCTAATGCAAAGTAAGTGGTAGTTACAGGAAGACAAAATAAAAACCCAAAAACCAACAACCAAAACCAGAAATACCTCAACTCACTGCCATCCAGTCATAACTGACTCATAGCTGACCCTCCAGCAGGTTTTCAGAGGCTGTAAATCGCATGGGAGGAGACCGCCCATCTTTATCCTTTTTAGCAGCTGGTGGATTCGAACTGCTTGCCTTTGGACTGACAGTGCAATGTCCTACCCATGAAGCCGCCAGAGCTCCCCGTGAAGACAAATTGAAGCAAGTATTTTATCAGTCAGGCATAGTGAAGTTAGGTGTGTGAGGAGAGGAATGGAGGGGAATCTATGAAAATAGGACGCTGCTTGCTAATTTGGTATTGACCCTACCTTTACATCAGGATGCGAGGGAGATTATACAAAAATGATACCCACTTCCTATGCTCCCATGTCCTGATTTTTAACTGGTCTGAGTAAGGCCTGTTGAGGGAGCAGGCTGAGTGCTGGGCTGCTGGGAGTTGGAACCCACTGGCTGCTCCCCCTGTTAAAAGTAACAGCTTAGGAATGAAAACCTAGCCTTTCTGTAAACTTTTGTTAAAAATCACAATAAAAAATAAAATACAGTCACTGTGGAAAAAAGAAACAGCTTTGAAACCCAATGGAAGGTCACCATGAATTGGAAATGACTTGACAATAGGTTTGGTGGAAAGTAAAGCCTAGGCATCCCTGATAAAATGACCCAGACAACTCTGTGGCCAAGTCAAAGTTCAGTGAGGATAATGAGAAGCAGTTTTGGGTTTTTGTTTCAAAAATAGTGTTTCACATGGAAGTGCCCTGATGCTTAACAAAAGGTATGTGGGGATGAGGCAGAGCAGCTGCCACTGGACAGTTCCACTAGTCAGAATAATGTGAAAAGCAATGAACGACAAATCCAGCGCATCCCAGGAGTCTAAACTCAGATTTTTAATTAGTTCACTGGCGGCTGACAAATGGGCAGCAAGCTCAGCTAAGTGGCACCACAGCTTCTACATACAGGAACCTAAATTCCTCAGAGAGGTTTTGGAAACCAACACATGGAATGATAAGGATTGGACTGATGGATCACAACTACAAGTGACTCGTGAATAAAGAAAATGCAGGGATTTGGGGGCACTAACCTCCCTCGAAGTAGAGTATTTTCTACCTCCCCCCTCTACTGCCTTTAATGTTTTGAGTATCCATTAAGAACACCCTGTGACGTCTCTCAAGTAATTAATACAAACAGGTAACTACTCACTCAGAGTTTTAAGTGGATACCAAGTACACAAGAACTTACTGCATTAAAAGCAAGAGAAAAGTCGGCTTATAATATAAACTCTGGTAAGGAGTTGCACTGCCAACTCAAAAGCATGTGATTTGAATCTGCTAGCTGCTCTTAGATGCAATTCCAGCGCGATTTACAGCCTCTGACAACCTGAAGGGTCAGCTATGAATCAGTTCTGACTGGATGGCAATAAATAGCAGTAGCAGCTCAAGTACTGTTCAAACGATTTCAAGGGTCACCTGTAAGGAAAGGCAGCTGCGCCAGTGTTTACTAAGGTCGCCGAGGCGCAGTAAGGACAGGGTTTGTGGAGCGGATGGAGCAGTCCTTACCAACTGGATAATGAGGCCGGAGGCTTCCATCTGGCTGGCCACTGGAAGCAACACCATCCCCAGGTCCAGAACGGTAAACTTCTGTACAGCTGGGAAGTACTGTTCACTCACAGAGGTCTTTTCAACTATAACGATCCCTTGGAGACGGCTAGACTTCAACCAAAACAAGACAATCAATCATTTTATAACAAAATTCCTTTGAAAATAAAAAAGGACACGCCTTCTTGATTTCAGGAAAAAGAGGCGGCTGGGTGTTTGGAATAATCAGTGGGTTTACACCAATTATTCCAAGACATGGAGGGGCGAGTGATACGAGTAAATTTCCATCTCCTGTTATTTTGGTTCAGACTTACATTTCGAACCCGAACAAGCCTCTTTCTGTAGCCATTTCCTGCCACCAAATCGGCTTCGGTGATGTAAAGAATACAGGATCTGTTAGATAAGTAGAAATCTACTGGCGTCTGGCGATCCTCAAAAACGAGCTTAATTTTCCCTAAAAATAAAAATAAGGAAATGAGTTGTCCCAGCTTTAACAGGAAAGGTTTTTAAAAGCGAGGACGGGGAGAAGGGCAGGAGCCAACTGACCGTGCATACCCTCCGTCAGCTGCGACCCACGCCATTTCTGGCTGGCCACAACGTGTCCCAAAGGCACATGGATGGGGCCTATGTCCTCAGACGGGACCCCTTCCATCGCTGGTCTGGATCTAATGAGGACAACGCGGGGTGACACAGTCCCACATTCCACTCCAACAACTCTTGGGCAGGATCCTGTTTGCTGTGTGTATTGTTAAGACTGAATTGTTTGTCAAAGAGTCAAGAGTTTCCTCTCCTGGTGGCCTTATACCCTATTTTCTCCACCTGCCTGGCTCAAGAGCTGCGCCCCCAGCGAGGTCCACGTTGGGGTCCGCAGTTAAGACAAGGGCGAAGACCGAAACAGCAGTTTCCAGCGAGTCTACCAGCGGCTGCAGCCGCTCACGCTTTCAAACCGCGCTCCGCCTCCTAGAGTGCCGGATAGGCTACGACGTAGAGATGGGCATCTGAAGCGACCTATGAGAGCGCGAGCAGTGCCGGCAGGTTCGCCGGTTGTCAAGAGCGACGGCATGTTGCCAAGAACATAGAAGTAAGCTTAACTTTGATTGGCCAAGGCCAGAGCGGAGCCAATGGCAAACATGCCTGCCGTGAGGTCCGTTATGAAAAAAAGCGTCGGGAGCTAGGCCTGGGTGAGGGGAATCCACGTTAAAGGGGCGCGGCCCCGGGTTTTCGTGGGAGATTCGAGTGCAGACCCTGGTCTGAGCTTCCCCAGTTGCAAGGATGCTCCTGGGCTTTCGCAGAGGACGCAAGAACCAGTTTGTAAGTATATACACGCCTGTCTGCGACTTGTCCTCTTGGGACCAGGAGATAAGGGATGAGCATCTGGGGAAGTTTGGGGATTTAGCGCTTGAGATTGGGGCAAGGTAGCAGAGCAAGAGGAAATGGCTTGCAGTTGTGTTCTCTAGAACCCTTTATCTAGGATGGGCCTGGCGTTCGCTCCAGTGCAGAGGAAATTACTGTCCCAAGCGTTCTAGATTCTTCCTGCCCCACCCACCAGATACACCCTATCAACAGGTCCCATCACTTTTACAGCAAAATAGACCCAGAAGCTGGCCGACGCCCTACTGGCCTCTAGCATCACCCCTGGACTGCTCCACTTCAGTTCTGCTTCCCACTCTTGTGCCCTTCTCCTAGGGCACGACAGTGGAAGCTGCCGAAAGGATTGCAGACAAAAAGATTTTTAAAAAAATTTAAATGTGGCTTTGCCCCCTTTAGGCCCCGGTGCAGCCCTCCTCCGGGCTTCCTCCTCACTATTCCAAGTGCAGCCAGGGTGCTTTTTGAAGGTATGGATGGTGAAACTCAGTCTCACATACTTTGAGCCTGTTGTCAGGACAGGTCAGTCTTTGGAAAAAGACATTATCCAGGAAACGGTGAAGGGTCAATGAAAGAGAGGAAGACCCTCAACAAAATGGATTGACACAGTGATGTAACAGTGCGCACTAGTGTGGCAGAGATGATGAGGATGGCGCAGAATAGGTTAAGGTTCAGGTCTGTTGGTCACTATGTGGTAGTGGACTGGACCGCACATAACAACTGTTCCTTCAGCCCTTTGCCTTTGTTCTTCCTTCTGCCTGGAATGCTTCCCTCCAGAACTTTCCATGGCCTCTTTGTCATAGCATGCTTGGGCTTCCATTCTCATATAAAACCTTCTGGCTTTCCTACTCAGCTCTGGCATCCCAGCTCACACAATTCATTGACACCTCTGGCTGCCCAAACTTGCAATTTAATGATCAGTCAACCTCTCCCATCTCTAATACTAAGTTCATCATGATACTCACTTCCTGTATGCAAACCTTATTCTTCGCTCCTGCCTTCTTTTTTTACTTTTATCCAGAAAAAGGCCAAATTACTTATGTTAAGTTTTCCACCTACAGAAAAAAAAAATTATGTGGTAAGGGCACTCCTGAATTATTTTGAAGCTGAGTTTGAGAACCTGCTGGACTTGGCTGCAGCAGAAACATGAAGCATTCTGGAAATGCTGCTTTAAACTTTAAAAGTGCTGAAGTCACTTTAGCCAGGTGAACTCTAAGCATTGAAGACATATTTGAAGCATATTTATTTGTCTCTGAAATTTACTAACAACATAATAAATGCTTATTGTGGATAGATTAGAACACAGTGATAATAAAACCCCTAACATCCAAAGAAAAGAGCTGTTGACATTTTCCTGCACTCTTGAAACATAGGTTTGCGCTGCAGTCTTGTTAAGCCAGCATGGTTATTAAGTTTCCTTCAAAGCATTATTGAAGCTTACGCAATACCCAGAATTGATTGAGTTACCTACATTGCCTGGGAGCTGTTTGTTGTTGTTATGTGCCATCCAGGTAGGCCTGACTTAGTGTTGGTGGATTTGAACCACCAAAGAGGCACAACCTTTGAGTTAGCAGTGTAACTCCCTGTGGACCAAACCACCACAGCTCCTTTAGTAATTCTAAAGTGAATTCAAGTTTTCTGTGTCTTTGAACAACTCCCAGGGTGTAGACAGGTAAACTAACAGATTGCTTGAGGCAGGGTGGAAGGTGCTAGCAAGATGGGTCAACAGAATGTAGAGGGAGATGGTGGCCACAGGGCTGAGGTGACCCTGTCCCCCACTGTGACTTCTGCTGGTATTGTTTTCATAGAAGCATATCGTCCATGGCCTCCTTCCTGCAGCCAGCATTGCACCGAAGCCAGCTGTGCCCCGCACACCTCCTCCTCGCAGCCCCAATCCCTCTCCAGAGAGACCAAGGTGAGTTTCAGGTGAACGTCGGGCCCTAATGTTTCCTGTGAGAGGTCACCTCTGCTTCCCTTCTGGGGACTGTTCAGATACTGGCAAAAAATGCAAATATAAGGTAGATAGAATCATATCCTCAGAAATATTTATCATGGTTCTATAATGTAACATTTAGTACAGTGCTCTGAGGGATGATGGACTTACTTGGGATCTATTTTAACCACATTCTCATTTCATAACTAGATGCAATTAATATTTCTTTCAAAATTAAAGCATTAAATCCCTTTTCAGAATAATAGCAAGCTTTAAAGAAATTTGAAATCTGCACAAAATTTTCCTTCTAAACATAACCCCACTTTTAAAAGGAGCTCTTTTTAGGCCTGGAGAAATGGAAGAATGGATAAGAAGACTCAATGTTGTGAAAATGACAATTCTACCAATGGTAGCCTCCAAGTTCAATACAATTCCAGTACAAATACCAATTCCATTCTTCAACAAAATGGAAAAGACAATTTCCAATTTCATCTGGAAAGAAAAGAGACCTCAAATAAGTAAAGCACTCCTGAAAAAGAGAAACAAGCTTGGAGGCATCTCATTCCCTGATCTTGAATCCTACTATACAGCCGTGATGGTCAAGAAAATGTGGGGGGAGCTCTGGTGGCCTAGTGGCAAGGAGCTGCAACTACAATCCCAGAGGCAAACGGTTCGAATCCACCAGATGCTCTGCCGGGGAAGGAGGGACAATCTCCTCCTGTACCAGTCAGATCTGATTTGACGGTACATGCACACAAAAATAATAAAAAAAAAAGAAAAAAAAAAAAGAAAATGTGGTACTGGCACATAGATCAATGGAATAGAATTGAGAACCCAGAAATCAGCTATGGTCAGTTGATTTTTGACAAGGAGATTAAATCAGTTAAGTGGGGAAACAACAGCCTCTTTAAAAAATGATGTTGACAAAATTGGAAAACTACTGTAGAAAACTCAAGCAAGACCCAAACCTCACACCATATACCAAAACCAACTCAAAGTAATTCAAGGACCTAGGATTAAAACCAAGGACTAAAAGAAAAAAAATTAAAAAAAAAATAGAATAAAAAAAATAAAAAACAAACAAATCAAGGACAATAAACTTCATCAGAGCTTGGAAGGCTAGAAGCCCTAATCCACAATATGAACAGTCTCCCTACCATCTTGAAAAACTTAAAACCAGGAGAGAATAAAATAGATGAATGGGACCTTCTAAGAATCACATCCCTATGCACATAAAAAAATTTCTCCAACAGGGTAAAAAGGAAAGCTACAGACTGGGAAAAAATGTTTGGTAATGACATCTGATTTGGAAGCAGGAGTGGCATCCACTTGTGAAATAGCTTGCCTCTGGAAACCGTATGGACTTGAAGAAACAAAGTTATACTAGCGTTCAGGTCTTTTGTTCATAGGGTTGCTATGAGTCATCTACGACTTGACGGCACTTAGTGACAACATAGAGCTCAGTTGGCCTACTGGACAGAAAGTGATGCTACCAAACCAAAGGTGGGTGATTTTAGTCTGCTGCCCTTATGCCAGTTTTAATTGTTTTTGGTCAAACATTCTTCTATGTGGCATAGCACTGGTCTGTCCATTTGCTGTACAGAGGTAACTGTGATGCTGAACACTGTGACACTGATGTGTCAAATGCAATAATGTTTACCCAGGGTTGACAGTGTTTGGTGGAGCTCCCCAATTAAACAAGCTTGGAAACAGGAGTGGCATCCACCTTTGAAATAGCTTGCCTCTGGAAACCCTATGGACTTGGAGAAAAGATGAAAGGTATACAATGTTCAGGTCTTTGGTTCATAGGGTCATTATGAGTCATCTACGACTTGATGACATTTAACAACAACACAACAACAGTGACATCTGATAAGGGACTCATATAAGATATGAATAGACACTTCACCAAAGAAGACATTCAGATGGCAAACACATGAAGAAATGTACAGAATTCCTAGTCTCAGCGAGATGCAAATCAAAACAACTATGAGATATCATCTTACCCCAGTAGTAATAGCAAAGTTCAACAGAGCAGCAAACAACAAATGTTGTTTCAGAGAGATTGGAACCCTTATTTACTGCTGGTGGGAGTATAAAACGGTGCAACCACTGTGGAAGGTGGTCAGGCACTTTCTCAAAAAGTTGGAAAAAGAAATACCATTTGACCTAGCAGTTTCACTACTAGGAATATACCCTACAGAAACCGGAGCTGCCACCTAAATAGGTATGTGCACACTCACGTTATTGCTGCGTTACTGACAGTAGCAAAGAAATGGAAGCAACCCAAGTGTCCATCAACAAACGAGTGGATAGAAAAACGATGGTATATTTCACACAGTGGATTACTACGCAGCAATGAAAACAAGAACCTCATAAAATATTACACAACATGGGTGACCCTGGAAGACATTATACTGAGTGAAATACCTCGGCCACAAAATGACAAATACTGCATAACACCACTGTTATAAAATAGGACTGACTTGAGGGTTGGGAGAAACTAAGAAGAGGGGATAAATAATGAACTCTGCATTAGAACAGATGAAGGAAAGAACTGTTTAAAAGGAATATATGGTTAGGTGTTATTTATATGACAACAGTCCAGAATAAAAGGTGCACAGCAAAGTGGATTGGAGAATGGAGGGGAGGAAATGATGCAACAAGGAATACATTTCTTTTAATTGAGATTTTAAAGAAAGTTTATAGAGAATTTGGATTCCCATTCATTCTTTGTTGCCTATTTTCCTCCCTGCTCACTAATGTTTTTTTTAAGTTAATTGGGAGTGGATAGGGAGGAAAATGTATAACAGTGAATGAATGAAAATCCAACTTTTTCATAATCTTTTGCCTTTCATTAAAATCACAATAAAAAAGTATTTTTTTTTTTAAATGAGCCCTTTTTGGGGAGAATGAAGGAGCATGTTCACTTGCCAGGGCCTGGGGTTATATTCTTTTACATAACAAATACATGCTCTCTCTCACACATACGTAGACCTAAACCCTGCCTGTGACCACCATGATTTTAGGCATAGGAATGTTAGTGTGCCTTTAATCTACAAAATAGATTGCCTTGAGTATTCACAATAAATGAGAACTAATTTTATTCAAGAGTGGCATTTCTTTTTTTTTAGCATTTTAAACTAGGCTATTGTGTACTTCCTGATAAAAAATGCTTTGAATTTTTTTTGTATTTTGAACTATTTTTTGTATCTTTCATTATAATCTTGATAACAAGAATTAGAAACATCTATTTGTGTTTCTTTTGTGCCTAGTATTCTGTTAAGGGCTTAAGAAGCATTACTTCATTTCTTACTAGTTCTGTGAGAGGAGACTTTTCTCATCTCAGCCTTGACTTAGTAAGTGGCCCAAAGTCTCAAGCTGATCCATGGTGACACTGTTGTCAGAGAAGCTTGGATCTGCTTGCCTCTTCAGTGTTAGTTTGAATAGCTCATAAATTACATCTATGGAACGTAAATGTTTATGTGGCAGAAGTAGCAGCTAGCAGTAAATCATAAAAGCAAATAAAACAATAACATTTTCATGGAAAGCATCCTTAAGACTCATTAGGAAAATTTTTCTTTGGTTGTAATCTTTTTAACTCTAAAATAGTCAACATGACTTTAGCCAGTGTGACACATTTCTAAAACATAATATTCAGTTTGGTTTTTTATATTACTCTTTCATGCACAGTGTGAGAACTTAATGTTAATTTACTTCTATTTCCTTTCTGTTGACGTATATTTTGATTTGATATATTATAATCGTCATAACACATTGCTAATGTTTCTGCTTTTGACAGTTGTTAATCTCTTTTAAAGCTCTTTTGAGGTTTAATGGCTATGTAATAAACTGTACCTATTTAAAATGCGTACTTTACTGAGTTTTGACATATGTTTATTTCTGTGGAACCATCACCACAATCCAAGTAATAAGCATAACCATCAACTCTCAAAATGTTCCTAGGGCCACTCTCTCTCTCTCTTACCCTCACCTCACGTTTCCCCAATAACCTGATCCCATCTCCAGTTACTTAGAGTTGTCACTATAGTTTGCATTTCTAGACTTTTACGTAAATCTCTGTGTGTGTGTGTGTGTGTCTCTCTCTCTCATTGAAATAAAATTGGTTCTGACTCACAACTAATGCTTTGGCAAGTTTCTGAGACTGTCTGTAATCACAGGGAAGTTGATTGTCCATCTTTATTCAACACAGTGACTGGTAAATTCAAACCACTGGCAAAGTGCTGCCTCTGAGTTGGCAGTGCGACTTCCTACTGTGTACACAGAGCTTCCTTTTATAGAAATGAAATTGAATTACCCAGAATAATTATGCTGGCTTCTTTCACTCAGCATAATCGTCAGTTTCATTGGAGGAATAAATAGTTAACCATTTTTTTGCTGAATATATTTGTTTCCATATATAAGTTTATAAATATACCACAACTAGTTCATCCATTCACCTGTTGATGGATATTTGGGTTGTTACTGGTTAGGGGTGTTAGAAATATAGTTGTTACAAACATTTGTATGTGAATTCTGGGGTATATGCTTGGCTAAGTGTGCAGATATTTTATTGTTGTAGCCTCTTGATGAATTTGCCCTTTTGCCGCTATAGAGTACGCTTTGTCTCTTGTAGTGGATTTTAACTTAAAAATTTGCTTTTCTAGATATCAGTATTGCCATTGCTCCTTTTGTTTGGTTACTGTATACATGGAATGCTCCCATTTTTTTTTAAATTATTTTAAGCTGCTTTATGTCATTATGCCTAAGCATAATGTCAACAGTTTATACATGGGTCATATTTTCTTTTTTTAAAATTATTATTAAATTTTATTAGTTTTAATAAACATTTACAGAGATTTTGGGTTTTCATTCATTCATTGTTACACTATTTTCTCTACCCTCC